TTAACTTCCTTCTGTGTTTGACCAGCTTCTGATTCCTGAGTCTTTTCAGAACTCCTCAAGTGACCTGCCTTGCTTCTCCTTCTGTCAGCAATAAGATCTGACCTTCCTTGGACTGGCAATGTCCTCAACTGTCCACCATCCATTTTTATAACCTGTGGTTTGGGTGACTCCCAGTTCAAAAAGGTAAAACCTGTGTTTCTGGTCTTTCTTCCCTTCCTTGTTATTTTGAGAGATGTGCAGGCTACAGGGAGAAGGGAGGAACGATATCAGCTATCTTGAATCAGAAAGTCTTCAATTTTTATTTTTAGTTCTTCAAATGCCTTCAATTCCTTACTGCCTTTGAGGTTTTTGCACTTAGTATTTCAGCTGTCTGAGACATTCATTTTTTCCTCCTCCATCTTCCTTTCTGGCTAATTCCAAGTCAGCTTTTAGTTCTCAGCTTATACGTCATTCATAAATGAGTCCTTCCAGACCACCCAAACAAGGTTAATTTCACTCCCCATGATATGTTCTCATGTCACATATCGTGACTCTAAGTCCATGTGCTTGATTCCCCTGATAGGTTGTCACCTCCAAAGGGAAGCCACCATTTCTTGTTGACTGCAGTATTTCCAGGATCTAGTGCAATGCCTGGCATTCAGCAGGGAATCAATTTTTTTTTTCATTGTTGATCAAACATATATTACTTACTATAAAGATAAGTAGTTACTTAAAATTCAACAATACTACTTATTATGATTATTAGTTATTATTATGGAGACACTGTACCATAATATGGATTCTTTTCTATCTTCAAACTTATTTTACGAGAACACTTTCAAAATTATACTGACAAAACATAATATACACTCAAATGAATATAATGTATATGTTTTCTATTGTGCTATAACAAATATGGCCTAAAACAACACACATTTATTATTTGACAGCTCTGGGGGTCAGAAGTCTAAAATGGACGGGCGGGACCACATTCCTTCTGGAGACTAGGGTTTTTTCCTCTTTTTCAGCTTTTAGAAGTTGCCTGTATCTCTTGGTTCACAGACCTTTTCTCACATCACTCCAATCTCTGCTTCCATTGTGACATTGCTGTCTATGGCTCTGGTCCTCCTGTTTATGGCTTATAAGTGGCCATTTTATTAGGCCAGGTCAGATAACTCAGGGTACTCTCCGCTTCTCAACAAGCTTATTTAACCATACCTACAAAAATCCATTTTCCCACATAAAGTGAAATATTCATGAGTTCTAAGGATTAGGATGTGAATACCATTATATCGTCTACCATGTGTAGATAGCAAAATATGAACCCATAGAGGGATTAATTGTTGCAAGAAATGATAAAAACATCTGTAATACATTTAAACTTTTAAATTAGAACAACTGCCAAAGTAGATAAAAAATAATATGTCTCTCTCTATATATTGAAATAAGATACCAGTAAACCAGTGATTATTAAATAGATAATACATATCAGTTCAATAGTTGCTTAGGTAGACTTCCATGTGCTAATCCATTATCATGCTTTTGTGAATCCTGGGACTTCCTGGCATTTTCAGGTAGGAAATCCATTTTTTTTTTAATTATAAATTTTATTTTTATATTCCCCATGCAATTACAACCCCCTTATTTTGACCCCAATCCCTCCCCTTCCCACCTCCCACCCCCCATAGAGTGTCTCTGGTTCATAGTTGTTTGTTGATTTTGATTTTTACTTTCTTATAGTTATTCTTTTTCCTGGTCCCTTATTTAAGTTTTCTGGATTCCTGCTATGAGTGAGACCATCTGGTATTTTTCTTTTTCTTTCTGGCTTATTTCGCTGAGCATGATCCCTTCCAGCGCCATCCATGTTGCTGCAAATTGCATGTGTTTATCTTTTTTGAATGCTGAGTAATATTCCATGGTGTATATGTACCACATCTTCTTGATCCAGTCATCTATTTTTGGGCATTTGGATTGTTTCCATAGCTTAGCTATTATAAACAGTGCTGCTATAAACATAGGGGTGCAGGTGCTCTTTGGAATCGATGTTTCTGTGTCCTTTGGGTAAATACCTAGGAGTGGAATTGCTGGATCACATAGAAGCTCTATGTTTATAGTAGGTCAAGAAATCTCCACACAGCTCTCCATAGTGGTTGGACCAGTTTGCACTCCCACCAACAGTGCAGGAGAGTTCCTTTTTCTCCACACCCTGGCCAACATTTGTTGTTGCTAGTTTTTTTAATATGTGCCATTCTCACTGGTGTAAGATGGTATCTCATGGTAGTTTTGATTTGCATTTCCCTGATTACAAGTGATGTTGAACATTTTTTCATATGCATGTTGGCCATTTGCATTTCCTCTTCAGAGAAGTTTCTTTTAAGCTCTTCTGCCCATTTTTTGACTGGGGAAATCCATTTCTTAAAGCCAATTATCCAATTATGTTAACTATATAGATGAGCATAAGTGTTTTTCTTGTGCATATGTAAAAATAAATTTTAGATAAAAAGTAAGCATGCAGAATAAGTTGGAGGAAAATGATAATAAAAATCTATTTGGGGAAAATCAAATCCGACATTCTTTATCATTTATTTATTTATTTAATTTTTTTTTTTTTTTTAAAGATTTATTTTTTTATTTATACAAGCACTGGGTACAGTCAGAAGCACGGGAGGGTGAGAGAATTCACCAGAGCCAGAGCAGGGAACAGAACAGGCAAACTGACGAAGTACACTGCTGAGAGGAGCAGCGGGCGCGGCAGGAGAGGTCTGTGCGCCATGTGGGACCCTCGCCGGTGGCTGGGGATTGAACCGGCGCTGCAGAGGCTGCGGGCAGCTTTGCAGCCCAGCGCTCAACCGCTGTGCCACCGGGGAGGCCCTAACATTTATTTTAAGATGTTTCATTCTCAGTTATCCAGCAATGCCTCCCCAGTCATTCTGGGGAGGAAATACACACACACACATACCAGGAAGCAGAAAAAAGAAGATACTCCATCTCAAATCCTCCTCAATGCCATGTGAATAACTAGAACAAAATGACAGTTTTACATTGGACTGATGGTAAGACTGTCAACTGGCTCTTGCAAATAAGAACCTCACCAGGCAACTGCATATTGATTATCAACTTTACCCGTTTGTTAGTTTAATAATTATATCCAGGGCTGATATGGTTCTCCTGCATTAGCTGGAGAGCAGGTCCTTTTCACAATGGAACATTTACTTGAGAAATCAAATTAAGATTATGACCGAGGATTCTAATTAAAATGTCAGGCTGCCCAAGGCACCAAAAATGCTCAGGAACTCACAACCTTTTATCCCACAGCTCCCTCTCCCCTTATCTGGCCCAAATTACAGTACTTGAAAGGTTGAAGTAGCATGCTACACTGGAAAATGTGGTGCCTTTGGAAAAAATGATGAGTTAGAATTCTATTTCCTTAGATAGAATTACTAGTCAATCTGTTTGATTAAAGAGAATTACATGTCACTGAGAAGTGGAAATTTCAAGCTTCTTGATAGGTTTGTGCTCTTCTACCAAATATGGTATTCATTTACCCCCCTCAGTTCATATAGTTGATGTAGCTACTTATTGACTTGCTCTCAAAGCAAGTCAAGCAAGTCAAAGCAAGCAATTTCCTTCCAGGTCTTGTTTCTTTTTCTAAGCTGCAATACAGCTTTACTGTACTTATGGCTCAATGGAGTAGCTATTAGCCTCATGGAATGACTGAGCACCCAGCATGAGGCTAGCTGGAGATGCACGTAAGTGTAAATACACCCTAAATTTTGAAGCCTACTATTAATGAGACTGTGAGATCATTCATTAATAATTGTTTACATCGATTACCTGTTGAAATAACATTTGAATTTATTTTGAGATGCAGTGGGTTAAATAAAATATATCATTAAAATTAATTTTAATTGTTTTTTTTTTCTTTTTTAGTGTAGCTACTAGAAACCTTAAAATTACATTTATGGCTCATGTATTATTATTGGACAACACTGATCTAAGGCTCCTGAAGTCCCTGTTACCTTTTTCAATTGTCCTTTACGGTGTGACCTCTTACATTGATTTATTCCCTTTTTACTAACTACTTAGACCTATAAGATAAAAAAGAAAGTCAATCCCTGTGGCCAGCCTTTAAGTCAGGAGAATCAAGTGCACAGATAGATAGAAATTCTTTGTTTGATTTTTTTCAGCTTATTGGTTTGATGCTACTATATTAGAATAAAGGGGGAGCAGGAGAATAGTCTTTTTTGGAGTCAGTAGAAATCGACTGTATGTGGAGGATTAAAGAGAATATTGAGTCATTCTGGGGAAGAAACACACACAAACACCAGAAAGTGGAACAAAGAAGATACTCCATCTCAAATCCTCCTCACTCTCTAAATTTTTGCTCTATTTTTCTTTTGGCTATACTAACTTGTACCTCTTTTTCTATGCGTACCGATTTAGACCATTCCCTTGATGGAATGTGACTATTGAAAAGATGAAGAAAATATGTTGGAGATGAAGATAGAGGGTGATGTAGGAGATCTACAAAGACCAAGTAACACAGATAAATGTTTGTCTAAATTGGTAAAGATCTGGGCCTCCCCTGGTGGCGCAGCGGTTGAGCGCTGGGCGCGAAGCTGCCTGCAGCCTCTGCAGCGCAGGTTAGATCCCTGGCCACTGGCGAGGGTCCCACATGGCGCACAGACCTCTCCTGCCACCTGCTGCTCCCCTCAGCAGTGCATTTCGTCAGTTTGCCAGTTCTGCTCCCTGCTCTGGCTCTGGCGAATTCTCTCACCCTCCCGTGCTTCTGACTGTACCCCAGTGCTTGCATAAATAAATAAATAAATCTTTAAAAAAAAATAAATTAGTGAAGACCTTAGAGATTAGCCTGTTCCATCTTCCACCCAAATCCACAATCTTTTGATATATGGAATAAAGGCAGCTTATATGATAGCTTCAATATTCAGCCAATAAACCAAATAAATACTAAGAAATGGGAGTGGTTCCACTGAAAAAATTTTTTTCAACAGGGAAAAACCATGAAGAAAAAGCATGATGCTATTGTTTATGAACTTAAAGAAGTTCTGAATCTTCTCAAAGTAACAAATTGTTGCAAATCACTGTGGGTGAAACCGTACTCTTCAGAAGGCATACATGACCCGACTTGTGAGCTCCCAGCAGGTTTCAGCCATGTCAACAGATCCAGGTAAGAAATTATTTATATTAAACTAAGATAAATGTTCTGCTTAGCAGGTATTTTTCTTGGCATTGAGGACATAAAAGTTGTGCATTAAATAGATTAAATATTAACTGCAGGAAGATAGTGGTAAAGCTGTTCATCAAAGTTTATAGGTGGTAAATATCTAAAACTGACTCTGCTTCGTGGTATTAAATCTCTTAGTCCCTTTTATCCTTGAATCACTGATGTGACAACTATTCAAGATGATCCCAAACTGATTTAAACAGATTAAATTTATCTTTTAATAAAAATGTATCTTTACTTGCCCTGATAATGTCCCAATTATTAAGGTAGGGAAAATTCAGTTTAGGTTCCTCTGTGGTTTTGCTAATATAGAAAAGAGTATGAAGAAAAGAGAAACTTGAAATTTTGCTTTGCAAAAATGTATGATTCCTAGATTTCCCAAAATGTTGGAAACTTAAAATCTTGTGTTCTGAAGAGCATTAGAATCAGGTTAAAATTTATGGGGTTTTGGACTTTTAGATTGAAAGCATGCTAGACACTTGAAAGAAATTACTAAAACTAGTCTCAAAGTACATTCCAACTTTACAAGAATTACCTGAGAAAGCAGAAAATCAAGCAACCTGATAGTCTCTTGCCACTATACCAAATACATGGTATCCATATTTAAAAATAATTCAGTTGACTAAAAGTGTGAATTTTCACATGTGCAGGTGTCAGTTATTTCTGAAATCCTGAAATTCTGTTATTGAATACCTTCTAGAAAATATATATATTGTTTTTTAAAATTACAATGCAACTCATACAACATAAAGCCCAACCTTTCAAAGTACACAATTCAGTATTTTGTTTTTAAGATTTATTTATTTATGCATAGACCAACCGGGTTGTAGGCCAGAGGTGGGGGTTGGGGATTCACCAGAGACAGAGTGGGGAGCAGAGCAGGCGGATCTACTGAAATACACGGCTGAAGGGACCAGGGGGCGAGACAGGAGAGGTCTGCTGCTCTGTATGTGGATTGAACTCAGACCCCAGCAGTGAGAGTGCTGACACTCAACCCCTAGGTCACCAGGGAGGCCCTATAATTCAGTGGTTTTTATATAGCCACAAAGTTGTGCAATCATCACCAGTATTCTAGAACTTAACATTTTATAGTAAACTTCCCAATGTTGTCTCATTCACTATACTACTTGGTCCTCACAGATTCCTTGTGAAGTTGATGGGTTATCGTCTGAGAGAGTGTCACCTCAAAAGCAGGGGGGAGAATTATGGAGCTATACCTTTGATTAGTGTTAACAGCCAAACAACTGACCTACATGTTTGTTTTCATGTCTAGAATCTCGTCTTACTATGTATGTAAGTTGTATAAGTTGTTGGTATTTTAGCCGTTGGCATCGATGACTTCCAAGCTGTTAGAAAAACGGACATTTCTCCCCCAATCTCCGCCGGCCCCCCGCCCCCCGCCCAAATTTGGAGGTGGTAGCCCAAACAGCCTCCCATTTCCTTCCCACCCAGGGGGCAGCAGCGTGTTTCTCCTCTAAGAAGTAGGGGAGCGCAGACTGAGAGGGGGTGTGAGAGGGATTTGGAGCTGTCATTAGGGCGTCAAGGACGCCAAAGTTAGGGTAACAGGAGGTGCCAGGCACCTTAAGGGGAGCACCCCCTATCCCGCCTCCCCGCCTCTAGATGTCGCGCGCCCCCGCCAGCGCCCGAGGCCCGCCTCTTCCCGGCGCGCCGTGTGCACTCCCCATTGGCCAGCGCCTGTCCACGTGACCTCCGTTGCCATAACGACCCGCGCAGCGCGCTCTTTTCTAGCCTCGGAGGGCTGGGCTGCTCGTCGCGCTGGTGGGCCTAAGGTACCTGCGATCGCTGGGGACAAACTAACAGGAAAAAGATAGCTGCGCAAAGTAGAACTGTAATGAGGGAGAGGTGTCCCTCAGTGGTTTTGTTTCAGGGTGCGACACAAACTGAAAATGGAAACCACAACGTTATTGGCTGGAAAGTGACCCGCTGAAACCAAAATTTATCAGTGACACTGGGGAAATCTGCAGATGGAGCATAACTCTGGCAGGGGAAAACCCATAAGTTTTTATACGGGGAACTTAGAGCTACTTTTTCTTAGAAAAGTTGAGGGGGTGGGTGGGACTTTGGGAAGTCCAAAGTTGTCGTCTGGATAAGGCTTTGGGGGAAATTAGAAACTTTTGGGAAAACAGCAGTAAAAGTAAAAAGGACACCTGTGCACCTCTAAAATGTAATAATTGATAGAGAAGGGCAGAATTAAATGTGCATATGTATGTGTGTAAGTGGTATAAATGGGATATGTAATTGTAGAAGTCAGTAGAATCCAGTTACTCTCCCTTTGAGAGGGCTTCATTTTTTGCCTTTTTTCCCCTTTTCTTTCCTTTTTTTTTTGTTTTTAATTCTAAGACCAGTTCTCCTTGTCTCCTCTAGTTGGACACATTCTTTTTTTTTTTTCATTCATTCGTTAAAAAAAACCCAAACACCCAAAAAACAAAAACTAGGGCCTACTTTTGATGTATTCTAGGCACTGTTCTAAATACTGGAGTGACAACAGGAAACAAAAATGGTAACAACCCCTCCCCTCTTGGAGTATTTCATCTGGTAAAGGAGGCTGATAGTGGTCAATCACACATATATGTTAAATAGAATGTGATAAATACCGAGAAGAGATCCAATAGTTATAAAGTTGGCTTTGTCCTCGCAGGGAGGTTACAGAAGATTTTCCTCAGATGTAACCCTGAACTGAGACCTGAGTGGGCAAAGAGGGCGCGTTGTGGGGTGTGGGGGATGTGTGTTGGGGTGGGAATTGCAGGCAGAGGGAACATCATATGCAAAGTAGAGCTGCTAGTCGCCTCCCTTTCAGGGACTGGCCATCCCACCTACTTCCACTACACATACATTAATCTTGCTTCTTAGTTCTTGGAAGACATTTCTTTTAATTTCAAGTTCTTAGGAATTACCTCATTGTAACGCATAATTGTTGTAGACAGTATGTATCCAATAGGCAAGTATATTAACATACTTTATATATATTATCTCTGATGTTTCACAAAATAAAAATATGCAATGATTAAAACAAAATGTAGAATATGATGTATATTATTAGAGCTAAAAGAGCTATATAGATGTTCCAGGTGGTGAGAAATCACATTATTTTGGAAGGCTCCAAAAGGCATCTTAGAGAAAGTAATTTTTGAGATATGCTTTAAAAGTAAGATTTGGTCAAATGATGATAAAGTTTAGAGTATAAGGTTCAAGAAGAGTAAGAAAACTGGACAAGATAAGTTGAGATAGATTCCAAGAGCCTTGAAAATCAGTCCAGAGTTTATAGAAATTAAATAGAAATGTTTTAAGGAGTTTCCTGAGATACTTCCCCCTCCCCCTGCCCGTGTTTACCTTGGAAAATTTAAAATTTGCAAAATTTTTGCATGAATGAATGGCAGCGCGTACACCTTTCACATGAATTTGCCTTTTTTAGCCACATTTGCTTTATCTTTTTATCTCTCTTCCTGCGTGCGTGCACACGCACACATGCGCACACTCACACTAATGCAGGTACAGATATTTTTCTTTGCTTCACCATTTGAGATACAGTTGCAGACATACTAACTCTGTTACAGGGCAACCCCAATGTGAAATAGGTTGCCTGACTGTGGGTCCTCACCTGTGTGCTTAAAAGGGACTCATTATGAGACTCAACTGCAAGCACACACAAAAAGGCTAATAAAGGGTTTATTTACAAAAAGGGGAAATGAAGGAAAGAATAACTCAGGGAGAAAGAGATAAATTGGTGAATGTGTCCTATCAATTCGCTGAGCTGGGACCCCAATAGCATGCTGAAAGTCCCCCAAAAAATAAGGAACCCAAGCCCCACATGTCTAGTTATATACCAAGCCAGCTGCTTAACTCCACCCTTATTTCCCAGCAATCCTCCATTTGGTGATAACAACATTATGGGATTTGTAGTCCTTGGTGTCTTGGATATCTCTGATCTGGGGTGGGGGTGGAGTCCATAAAACCTGTTTATGTGGAGTTTGTTCAGGACCTCCTTTCCCCGGACATCTCTATCTCTAAATCCTCATATTGTCTCCTAAGAACAAAGATATTTTTCTGCATTACCACAATACAATTATGACACTACTGAAATACTTTTAAAATTGAATTTTGAATAAGAATTTCTGCTAATAAATAATGTGTTACTAATTTTAAATGGCTTGCAATAGTGGCTGGTACATTATGAGTGCTATATAAGTATTTTAAAAAAAATAGATTTTCATGGTTAGAAAGCTAAAGAATATGAAAAGGCATCTGGTGAAAAACCTCTTCTCTATTCCTGTTGCCCATCTATTCAGTTCCTACTCTAATTGCTCTCATTATAAGCATCCATTGTTCTTAGATTCTTGGGTATCTTCTAGAGTTTCTTTATGCAAATGTGAACAATTATGAATATGGATTTTTTTAATGCCCCTTGTCTTTTTCGACAAAAATAGCCCGCTAAACACTCTGTTTGGAGATCTTTATGCATTAAAGCTCTCTTTCTGCATAGAGAGCTTCCTCATTCTTATTTACAGTGGCAGAATATTCTATTGTGTGGGTACATCCTAATTTATTTGCAAATGCTAATATGTTCAAGGTTTTGGTTGTAGCATTGGTTTCAATATTACATGACTGGAAACAATCCCAATACATATTCTGTCCATCCCCTTTGGGGACTACATCTTTATAATCATAATTAACAATATCCGTTGAGTACCACCTATGTATATGAAATAGATACATGTCCTCAAGGATTTCACCTTTTAGTTGGTAAGCATGCACAATTTTATATATTATTTATTATATATTATATATTATTTTAATAAATATTATATATTATATATTATTACAATATATAATAATTATATTATTATGTTGAGTTCAGAACGCAAACACACCTCTTGCTTTTGGCACACTTAATCTTTTGTTGCATCCTTTCTTCAGAGCCTTTC